GAGTGAATGAGGCAGGAGCTCCCTGTGCTCCTCCCCTCACCCTATGACCCTTTCCCACCTCTCTGGGCCAACCTGACTTAACTTTGCTTTGCTCCCCCTCCCCTCTTGTCTGAGGTGCTTCCCCAAGCTGACATCCCAGAGGCCCCTCCACCCTGGCCCATTCTGCCTCCTCCTGGTTGTTAAATCTGGTTCCAGCTGATTCCACTGGGTGGGGTGTTGAATGTTGACTGAGAACCAGGAAGGCGCTGGCACCAGGGACAGAATACACAGAGGCCAAGACTGATCCAGCCTCTGTCAGGGACTATGGAGATGCAATGGAAACAGCTGAGTGGCCATATTACACAAACTCCATGGGGGGAACTGATTGACTTTAATCTTTGTCAATTAATATTTATTAACTGTTCAGAAAGTGGGAGGGGAAATATCCTGGTTTCTTGCTTCCCTTCCTGCAGAGAATTTTTCATTTACGACTAGAGGAACTAAGAGCAATGTAACATTAATTCCATTTTGGCCACAGTGAAAGCTCAGAGGAAAGAGAATGTCTCAGAAATGGTGCCCATCGATGTTAAGGCAGACCAGTCACTATGCAAAAGCTGAACAATATGTCTCATTCTTTCTCCCACCCCCTCCCCTACTATCTGCTGAAGAAATTGCAAAATGTTAGGGAATTGTAGCTGGAGGAGAGGGGAGGGGGTATTTGGATGGGGGAAGGAAGAGCCCCTAAGAATAACCTTTAGGGTCTTTCAATCTGCCCTTTCCCTGGAACATCCCTTCAGGTTCTCTCCCCATCTAGCAAAACAAGTTCCCAGAAATGATCCTAGTGTTGGGTCATTTACGCTGTAGTATGAATTGAAGCCCAAGTGGTGCCTCCCCCAGGATGCATTTGCATTTAAAGCCCCTAATTGTGTAAAAAATTTTGTGAATTGTTAAGGGAACTTCTGACAGCATCAAGCACCTGTGGAGAAGGGCCCTTTGGAAACTCCTGAAATTGTAGGCAGGTAACTGCTTATTGACAGAGACAGACCTGGAGTTATATAACAGCCACAAGTTAGCCCCATGTTGTGTGGGAAGGAAAGGCAGAGATCTGTTCTCCTCACAGAATACAACCCAGTTGAATCCACAAGCAGGGGCTGGGCACATAGGGAACCCATGGGGGGAATCAGAGAACATGACAGAATGAGTACTAACTCAAGTTACAGGACCTGGGTTCAAATCCCCACTCTGATGCTTATTGCCTATATGACCTTGAGAGTCACTTAGTTGAACTCTGGTTTCTTCATCTGAAAAATGAGGTGGCACCTCAGGTTTCCTCTGGCTCTATATCTATGATTCTATGAGTTCTGACCATCAGAAACAATCCAATTCTGGGCAAACAAGCTATAAGGACACAAATTCTACTTTCCTGAAATATGATAGACTGAGATTAGCCTAGGCAGCAAGAAGGACAAAACAGGTTTGGGCTCTATCTCACCACAGAGAATTTCAAGGAAGGTGGGGAGGTGTAAGAAGAGTTGGAGCCACAGAATCCATCTTGTTTCTTCCTATGGACAATGAATGCATGCCAAAATGGCTCAGAAAACACATCACTTTCAAAAAAAAAAATCATTCCAGTGTGATAGTGGCAAGATCACTGGACCTGGATGGAGTTAGGCAACTTGGGGTGGAATCCCAGCCCTGTGACAAACACATAACTAGCTTTTTGGCCATGGGTGAGTTAATGTCTCTGAGCCTGCTTTCCTAGTCTAGAAAATGGGGAATAATACTTGCACTATCTACTTCTTCACTGAGTGATGTGGAAAGCACTGTGAACTTTAAAGCTATTTAAATGTGAATAACTCCTATCATGAGCCTCCACTAGGAATCTTTAATTTGCCCTTTGAGGTTGAGGTCAAACATATGATCTTCCCTCTTTGACCTATCCTCCACACATTTACTTTATTGATTTCTTCTCTACTCCCCTAGTCAATAAACTCCAGTGGCTCCCTATCACCTCCAGGATCAAATATAAACTTGCCTGGCTTACAAAGCTCTTGGTGACGTGGCCCAACTCATCTTTCCAGTCTTATCATACATTACTTTCCCTATGAGAACTACGGTCCAGCCAAACTGGCCTTTCTGCAGTTACTCACATGCAACACTCTGTCTCTGTTCATCTGTACTGGCTGCTCGCCATACCTTAAATACCCTTCTCACTTTGGTCTGAGAATCCCTATCTTCTTTCAAGAATCAGTTGCACTTGTCTTCTCAGTGAGGGGGGTGGGCATGGGGAGGGAGGAAGAGAGAGGATTTGAAGCTCAAAGTTTTAAAAACGATTGTTAAGAATTGTTTTTACAGTAACTGGGGAAAAATACTAAATAAAAGCTAAAAAAAAATCAGTTGCACTGCCATCTTCTACATGAAGCCTTCCTTGACACCCCAGTTGCTATGCCCCCCCATTACCTTGTATCTATTTTACATATACTTATATTTGTCTATTTTTCTTCTTCATAAAATGTAAGATTCCTCAGGGCTGGGATACTTTCACATTTGTCTCTGTACATCTAGCACCTAGCAGAGTTGGTGTATTTGTCTTAATTGATGTGATATAGGGAACTCTCTCCAATGAGACTCCCTCAACCTGTTGAGCAATGCAGTCTCATGGACTGCCCCTGTGCCTGGGGAACTGAGAGGTCAGGTGTTTTGCTCTGAGTCCCACAGTTAACATTAGGACTTGAAGCCAGGTTTTCCCGGCTCCAAGGCAGCCTCATTGTCTTCTCTATACCAGTGGTAATAAATTCAATTAGAAAAACTGGGGGCTACTGATCCATCCATAAAAATCCCTGTGGGTGCATACTGACTTCATTTAAAATTTTAATATTATCTAGGTTTTGTTGTATTTTTATTTATTTTGTTAAACATTTCCCAATTACATTTTAATCTGGTTCCTGCTGCACTGGGGACTGTTGTGGGCCACGTGCTTTGTGTATGATGCCTCTGCTCACTACAAAGGCAGTGAGTGGATCTTAACAAGAAGAGTATGCTTTGTCTTAAGTCTCAGTTCTTCAATCTCTCAGGACAAGAAAGTCACCCCAGAGTCCAATAAAATCCTCATTCAGAGACTCTTCCAGGATTGCATGCCCAGAGGTGACAGGGAGGGACAAGAAAGTCTGGATCTGAAAGCCATAAGAGACAATGACAAAAGGAATCTTTCTCTCTCTTGTAGCTAGAGAACAATCTTGTAGCCTGTGTCCAATAAAACTTGAGCTCCTTGAGGGCAGGAATTGTTTGGGTTTTTTTTTCCTTAACTTTCTCTCCCCAATACCTAGAATAGTGCCTGGCACATAATAAGAGCTTAATAGATATTTAACTGAATCAAAGGACATAGAAGAATTATAAACAGAATTTATTACCCTCATTCTGAAGTCATTCCAGAATACTAGTGATCACAGATTCCTGCCTCGACAACTTCCCAGAAAATCAATTAAAAATAGTGCAGACCTCCACATAAGTTAGAGACTGCAAGACCTTGGCTTAGTCCAACCATACCAGGGAGGTCTTAGGGAACAGGAAGTCCAGTCTTGAGGTACCCTGGGAGAATGATACTTCAAGGCCCCAGACTCTCTGCCTAATGCCCCCAGGAACTCCGGGGAGGTCAGTCAAGCAGCTGGAGGCCATGCTTGCTCATTCTCTCTCTAGCTCTTGGTCTCACCTAGAGCAGAAGAACTTTAGCAGTAGACACACACGGGAGGAGGAGGGAGAAGGAAGGCCAAAGGGGTGAGAAGATGGGGAACAATGAAGGAGAATGAGAGAACCTCTGACTGCTTAGAAAAGAGAAAGATCCACATCTGCTAAAACTGGAGAGAAACTGCAGAATTAAATGGAATTCGCTTTTAATCCCTGCTGTGTTTAAGAGCACTGCCTGGGTGGTTCATAAAGAGAGGCTAAGGGACATTCAAATCCACCTGGCTAGGGGAGACAAAGGCACCGACTAAAATCCTCTTGATCAGACAGAAAGACTCTTGAAAGTGTCTTCTTAGGGGCAGCTAGGTGACATAAAGGATAGTGTACTGGCCCTGGAGTCAGGTTCAAATCCGGCCTCAGAAGTCACTTAACCCCATTGCCTAGACAAAAAAATAATAATAATAATAAAGAGTCTTCTTTTAGAGCAAGTTCGAGTTTTTTTTCTCTTTTTAATATCCATATTTTCCAAAGGTCCCTTGTCTTAGGGATAATTTAGGGGGCAACTGCCCCTAAACTTCCCCACATTGAGCACTACCTGAGGAAATTTGTGGGTTCCTCAATTTGATAATTAAATAAAGCAATAAAGCAATACACTTGGAGGGATGGATGAACCACTGGCTGTGGTAGGGGGAGCACCTTTATTTTAGAAGGACATAGGTGATTCTCTGGAAATGAGAGAATCTGGGAGGTAAAGTTTCATCCCTTGAGCCACTGAGCTCAGCTCCTCTTCCCAGACTTCTTCCTAGTCATTAGGAGTCTGATGGGTCTTAGCAATTAAAACCATGACTAACAGACTGTTGCACGTCTCCATTCAAGGGAAGAAAACCTGATCTGGATGCAGACCCAGTATTTTCACTTTTAAAAAATTACCACAAACCCCAAGGAGGACTGAGCTACCTTTCCCATTTTCCTTTCCTCATTAAATTGAAAAAGTGTTTGTTAAACACCCATTCACCGACAACACTGCTTTGGACAGGAATGATTCAGGGAGATGTGTGTACTAGACCAGAGACATCCAATGAAGGATCACTGCCTTAGCCTTTCCTTCCCCATCCTCCTCATTCCTCTTAGTGAATGGTCACTTGTCTTAAGGTTCCAGATTCTCAGCCACGCCCAGCGAAGACACACCAGGAAGAAGGGGAGTTCACCAGACCTGAGAGCCAAACTCTGCTCTACTTGGGTAAACTCTGCACAGAGCAAACAGATAGCCACTGCTACAAATTCCCCCCAAATTCTCCCTGTTTGTATTTTTATTGTAAATTACTTCTAGGATCAAGCGCTCCTGTTAGAATGTATTGCTTTTATTTATTCATAATGATACAAAATAAACCATTTTGACAAAAAAGTCCATGCCCTCCAAAGCACTCTGGTCAGTGAGCCCCTGAGCAGAGAGGAGCAAGAACTCGTTACCGGTATTAGGGATTCTGGTCGTTGGGGTCACATTTAAGCATGACTTTTAACCCTATTCCCTTACTGGACACTTCAAAGGCCTCGTGAGCCTTTTCCAGAGGAAACCTGTGGGTGACCAAGGGCTTGACATTCACCAACTTGGATGCAAGCATCGAGATTGCCAACGGCCATCTAGGGAGGAAAAAAACACACACAACAATTAGACACACCCTGCAAGTGTGTGCACAGCATGGTCCAGGCCTCAAACACAGCCTGCCAACATGGCTAGTGAGTGACGGAGCTGGGGTTCAAAACTGGGTCCTTGAGGCAATGCTTTGTCTACCCTACACCAGGGCTGCCTGTTCTTTTGCCTGAAACAACTGCTCACCTGTCCTGAAATGGACCACGTGAGGGTGGCAGGGAAGGTTGGAGACTGACAAGGTACAGAAGTCTCATTCCAGCTATTTCAGCATCAATGACAGGTCCTGACCCAACATCTTAAGAGTTTTCTAAAGCTATTATTTTCCTACGCCACCCCACCCCCACCTCCAGCCAGGCAGAAGCAGAAAATCAGTCAATAAGCATTTATTAAGCACCTGCTAAGTGCCAGGCACTGTGCTAAGTGCTGGAAACAATGTTGGATTTTGAGTCCAGGGACCAGAGTTCCAATCCTGCCTCTTCCACTTATTACGTGAGTGACTTAGGGCTAATAAGTTCCTTCACATCTCTAGAGTCTTCATTTCCATATATGTAAAAGAAAGGATTTGACTAGATGACTTCTAAGGTCCCTTCCTGCTCTAAACTGATGATTAAATGATATTGACGACCTCTGAGCTCCATTCCAGCTCTAATCTTGCAGGCCTACAAGGAAGCAGCAAAAGGTAATGATGATAAAACAATCTCTGAGGCAGTCGGCTCAACCAAATAGGGGGCAGGAAAAAGCTCGACCTGAGATCACAGTCGTCGGCCCCGTGACCCGACTACCCCAGAGCTGCCTGCCTCCTTGTAAAAGTAACTAGAATACCACATCACGTGGATACAGACCTTCAGTTTAAAGTTAGAAAGGGGCTCAGAAATTATTGAGTCTAATCTCCCCATATTATAGATGAAGAAACTGAGGCTCAGGAAGTTTAAGTGACTTGCTAGAAGTCATATAAGTTAATTCAGTGTCAGGGTCGAGCTTTAAACCAAGGTTCTCTGACTGCAGCCAGAATCTGTGTTCTGAGAGCTGTTTCTCTCCCGTCCTCCTCCTCCTCCTCTCCTCTACTTCTTCTTCTCTCTCTCTCTCTCCCCCCTCCTCTCCTTTACCCTCTTTCTCTCCCTCCTTTCTTCCTCTCCCCCTCCCATGAGATACATAGAACAACAAATATTTATTATCCCTAGAATACAGATAAGGAAATGGGGTTAAAAAAGGTCCCCATGACTTGTGCATGGTCATACATAGTAGCCAGCACTTACGCTGTATTTTACATATATATATGTGTATGTGTGTGTATATGTATATGTGTATATACACACACACACACACACACACACACACATATATATATGTGTGTGTGTATATATATATAATAATGACCCTGGGAAGTAGTTGCTATTATTATCTTATTATGATCATGTAAAATGATCATTTTACAGGTGAGGAAAATGAGACAAACAGAAAATAAGTGACTTGCCCAGGGTCACACAACTAGGAAGTATTTGAGGCAGGATTTGAACCCAGGTCTTTCTGACTCTATCCTGTACTCTTGTTTACTTCACTACCTTACCCACCTGCCTAGTAAATGGTGGAGCTGAGATGCAAATCCTAAAATGACTTCAAACTTTCCTACTAAACCAAGCTGCTTCTTTCAGGAGCAGGCACCTTCAGACTATTTCTCATACACAACACTCAATTTCTCCTATCTTCACACCTTCGTACTAGCTGTCCCTCATGCCAGGGACGCAGTCTGTCCTCATCTCTGCCTCTCAGAATCCCTTGTTTCCTTCAAAACTCAGCTCAAGTAACAACCTATAATGAAGCCTTTCCTGATCCCCACAGCCGCTAGTGCCAGATTGCAAGCTCCCTGAGGGCAAGGATTGTTTCAATTTGGTCTCTGCATCCCCACAGCCAAGCACAATGTCTGGCACATGGTAAGAGTTCTTATTAAAATGCTCATTGATTGATTCTCTTTGGCTCTCTAATAAATGATCAGGGAAGTGATTGGGACTGACTCATCTATCAAGATCTTCTGGTCTATCCTCCTTGTCCAACATTCAGGAAAGAAATTGAAGAAGGCAGAGTGACTCTCCAGAGGCCAGTCTTCCCCTGATTTACTCGGTCCTAGTTCAGAGGATACTCACGTATTGCAGTATCGAAACACGCCTCTAAGGTCCACCTCCCTCACTGCTGCATGTACCAGGGGGACAGTGGCCATCTCATTACCTATTCCTACTAGCACTACGGTCCCACCAGAACGAGTGGCCTAAAAGGAGATAAAAAGCAGGAAGTCCGAGATTATAAATATAGACTTTTTTCTATTATATGCTAAGTGCTATGTGACCTACCGTTAAAGAGATGTTTTCTCCTCAGATTAAATGATTCCCCAGTGTCTATTTAAATACAGACAAGGTAAAGTATATAATCAGTGAAAACTCCAGAGAACAGAAGTTTTCAAGACTGGATCAATAGAACAATTACAAAGATGCTGGTGAATTTACCTGCAATAAAGATACTATACCACTATAGAATAATTGCTCAGCTCACGCTTACATAAAGAATTTTACAGTTTACAAGGCACCCTCCTCAGAATTATTCTGTGAAGTGGGTACTGCAAAATATTGTGATTTTTAATCATTGTGGGCAATTCCCAATATAGAAACTCCTTCCACTGATCAGATGAGCAACTCAGGTCAGTATTTGCTTTTAGATGATTTGGTCCAACAGCTAGTATGTATTCAGAGGCAGAATTTGAACCCAGATCTTTCTGACTCAAGTGCCCCCAACACCCCCCCCATCTACTACTACATGCAGCCTTTCATGCTGCAAACATTATCACCTCCATTTTAAAGATGAAGAAACTGAGCCTTCATATAACAGGTAAATTTCAGAGTTCAGACTCAAACGCAGATCTTTTGCTTCCAAATACAGGGCTCTTTCCCCTATTCAACACTGTAAATTTAGAGATGTCGAAAGAACACACTTTACTAATGCAAACATCTACATAAGAATATCTTCTATCATAACACCATCCCAAATGGCTAAAGTTAAATTGTACCATATAGCTGAGAATGCTTTGTTACAAAGAAGATCAATAACAATGGTGACCTCTAACAACCTTCCAAAGCTTTACTAACTCAGTAATGGCAGAATGTGGATTCAAGCAAGACCTCTCCAGACAACAGCCCTGGGCGTCCTCCTGTGGATCAAAACCTTATCAGGCCAAGCTCCAAGCCACTGGCCAAATGTTTCAGGTTGTGTACTGTATCTACCCCAGTAGACTGGTTGTAAAAGACAAAATGAATCAGGGGATCTCAGAATTAGAAGCAACCTCAAGCATAATCGAGTGTAACCTATACCCAAAAAATACAGGATGAGAGAGAGTTCCGAAAAATATACAATATAGGGGTGCAGCTAGGTGGGGCAGTGGATAGAGCAACGGCCCTGGATTCAGGAGGACCTGAGTTCAAATCCGGCCTCAGACATATAAGACTTACTAGCTGTGTGACCCCATTGCCCCCCCAAAAAAAAAAATACAACATAAGGGATTGATATTATTAGAATTTTGTAGCCAGGTGTGGTGGTGCACACTTGCTACTGGGAAAGACTAAGACTGGTCAACTGATTGGGTTTGGGAGTTCTAAGATGCAGGAGGGTGAAAGCACATAAAGTGTCTGCACAAATTCCAACATCAATATGGTGAAGCACCAGGGGGAGGAGGACCTGTGGTGCCTGTGGAAGGCAAATTGGCCCAGGTCAGTAACTCAAAGCTTACAAGCTGATCAGCAATGGATGCCTCAGCACAGTTCCTAGCACATAGTAGGCACTTAATAAACATTTACTGATACCTCTCACCCACCCGGACAAAACAAAAAGACCCAATCTCAAGGAGAAAAAAAAAAAGGGCAGAATTTTGTTGTATAAAAATTACTTTTAAATAAACAAGCTGTTAATAAGCTGATGCTTTAAAAATCCTTTAAGTATAGTGATCTGTTATATCACCAAACATATACTAAAAGCTTAAAAATGTTTGTTTAATTGAATTCAATTCTAATCATAATACTACTCATCATCATGGATTCTGTACCTGCTCCTATATCCACAGGTTCCTTGGGATGGAAACAGCGATAGTTAACTGTTGACAATTTCCATGTTATATTACAATCATCTCAAAACAAAATTACCCACATGTAGGTGATCTGCTTCATGGAATTTCATTGTACAATTTCTAATCCTAAAATGCTTTCCTCTTGCTACCCAGCTTTGGGTTGCCTTCCTTACACTATCATTCAGGGAGTACTCAGGAACACAAATTAATTATCATGTTGGCCTCAGCAAAACTCAATTAGGAAAGTAAATTGGTTCCTGCTGCCAAAGAAGAAAATCTTAACCATCATTCTAAGTCCAGCTCAAATCCCACCTCCTCTGGGAGGCCTCCCCTGACCTCCCCAGCCTTCACTAATCTTTCCTTCTCTTCTCTCCATAGGTCACAGCACCTCACAGGTAGGGACTGGATCATAGGCTGCTGTATTCTTCTCTAATTGTTTGAAGAATGTGACCTTTGTCTAGTTGTCTAAATTTTAAGTACTGTGAAGGTAGGGACCATGTTTTCTAATTTTTCTGTGTCCTTTTCATCCCCACCTCTCCATGAAAAGTATGAGCTATGTGACTCTGGAAAAGTCACTTAATTTCTCTGCGGTTCAATTCTTTCATCTTTAAAATGACCTCTGAGGTCCCTTTCAGCTCTCGATCTCTGAGCCTACAAGGGAGGTAGGTGGCAAAGTGGATAACTGGGCCTGAGTCTGGAAGACCCACGTTCAAATCCAGCTTTGTGGATTTAGGTAAGTCACTTCATTTCTGTCCCCCTCAGTTTCCTCAACTGTAAAATGGGAATAATGATAGTATACCCAAAACTAAGAGGCTGAGGTAAGGTGCCAGTATCTTGTTAGTGCAAATGCATGAATATATGAATGAAGCATTTATTAAGCGCTTACTATATGCAAAGCAATGTGCTTAAGCACAGGAGAAATTAATTAAAAATAAAAGTCCCTATTCTTGAGGAGCTCACATTCTAAGGGAGTAGACAACTCATATGGAAGTTTCAGCTGCTGCTTAGATGGAAAAATTTTTCATGGTCCTTAGGGGACATAAGCAAAGCAGATATTAATGCCTCTTCTTTAATGTCACAGATATAGAACACATACACAGATACACAGATCTGGGAATCATCCGCATAGAGATGATCACAAAACCTATGGGAGTTGATGAGATCACCAAGGAAGACAGTATAGACTAGACAGAACAGAAAAGGGCCCAGGACACAGCCTTGAGAGACACAAACATGGGTGTGACATAAACAATCAGCAAAGGAGACCGAGAAGGACTAACTTAGTCCATAAGAGGTCAAGAAGGAATAAGATCAAGAAAAAGTCATTAGATTTGGCAAGTAGGAGGCAATCGGGTTGCTTTATCTCCTAATATCTGCGAGAGAAAAAAAGGAATGAGACCTCTAACACACATATATAAATACATACATATGCACACATATATAAAATCTAAAATAGACAGCAATCTAAAAGGGTAATTTTAGAAAAGGCAGTTTCAGTCACAAGATAAGGCTAGAAGGCAGACCAAAGAGGGTTTAGAAGATATGTGGAAGAAAGGAAGTGGACATAGTGTAGAGGGTTTTCCCCAAGAGTTGGTCCATGAAGAGGGGGACGTTACACATGATGACAGCCAGGATCAAGATCTTTTACAGAGAGGGGAGACATGGGTTTACTTGTAGGGAGCAGGGAAGGGGTCATTAGATAGTGAGGAGTTGAAGATGTGAGAGAGAGAGAGAGAGAGAGAGAGAGGGAGGGAGGGAGGGAGGGAGGAGATGATCGTAAAGGTAATTTGCTGGAGAAGTTGTCAGGAAATGAGATCAAGGCAGCACATGGAGGGGTCATCCTTGGCAAGGAGTGAGGTCACTTCTTTATGTGAGATTGAAATGAAGGAGGAAATGTTGCTTCAAGGGCTGGGATGGCCTTCTTGGAATAGAAGGTTCTCCAGGTTCAAACCTGAATGAGTAAAAGAAGCTTCTTGGTTGAGAAATTCCAAAAGAAAAAAAAAATCCTCATTTTCCCTGTCAATGTTTCCTCCTCTCCACCTTGCCCCTTAATTCCAGGAAGGGCAATACCAAACACCGGCATCACAATGGCACGTCCACAAACAAAGGAATGCTGGAGCAGCCCCGACCTTCGTTCTGTGGGTGTGACTTCTTCAACAAGGCTGGGGTAAGGAGATGACATCAGTTCGGCTCCTCGTGCACAGGTCACCTCTCCCTGTTGAGCATTATCTAGTCACTGCCTGGTAGGGAAGTGTTTCTAAAAAAAGATCCATTCTGGCCACCGAGCACTTGCCTCCACCTCACCCTGCCCACCGGCAATGAGCTGGCCATAGCATTCTGTGTTGTCTGTCATGCATGCTGGCTCTGTTCTTGACGTCACTCAAACAGGACATTCCCCGTCTTAGGGACTTGTGGTGCCAAATTAATATCTCACCCATTGTCCTGCCACCAGCTGAAAATGCCAAATGCTCCCACGTGCCCTAAGAGTGGGGCGAAAGGACCTGGTTTTGATGCTGTCTCTCTCAGAATATGGTATCTGGGAGCAGACTATTTAGGTTCCTTGAGGGGAAGGCTCCTACAAAATACTGTGTCTCATATATGCTCCATAGCTATTTACCAAACAGGTAGGTGGTGTAGTGGATAGAGCACCTGGTCTGGAGTCAAGAAGGTCTGAGTTCAAGTCTAACCTAAGACACTCACTAGCTGTGTGACCCTAGGCAAGTCACTTCACATCTGTTGCCTCAGTTTCCCCATCTGTAAAATGAAGATAAAATAGCACCAACCTCCCAGGGTTGATGTGAAGATTAAACAAGATAATAATTGTAAAGTGGTTAAAATCTCTCTCTTAACACAGTGCCTGGCACATAGTAAACACTACATAAATGTTAGTTTATGATGATGATGATGGATAGGTCATTGCCAAGCTAACACTGTATCTGACAAACCAAGGGAGGGGCTGGCCCAATTTAGTCCAGGTGAAACACACTGCTAGTGCAAGCTTAAACCCCTACTATGCCAGAAAAGGTAGCTGCCTTGCCCAGCTCATGTAAACAAAGCAGTTTCTTCCTGGGGATGTTAGGTTTCTCTAAAATAGCTCTGTAACTCAGGGGTGTAAGTAGGAAGTGCCAGGTCCCAGAAGACAGACCAGAGTCCAAGGTTTCTCAGTGATGCCTGTAAATGATGCTTGAGGTACCCAAAGCTGTCACCCACCCTCAACCTCTTCACCACAGGCCTTTCCATAGTCTTTCTCTTTCCACAACTCCCTCCCTGTGCCCCAATTTTCCTTTTCGCCCCTTCTTTTCCACTTTCCATGCTTTTTCCTCTTTCTTTCTCCCCTTCCTCCTTCCCCATCGAGACCTTGCTGTGTGGCCCTGGGTTAAACCCAGTATTCCTCAGAGGCCTTGCTTGTTTCCACTGGTGGCACTCAAGACAAGGAAGTCTTTGGATTCTCATCTAGTCCAAGTCCAGGAAGAAATTTTTCAGCCAACTAACTGATGTTTGGAGAAGTTTGATTTTCATGATTCACTCTGGAAGACATGCTGGGTGTGATCTCCGTGACTGAACAGTCACGGAGAGCAAGTTCCTGGAACAAAATGAGATAGGGAGGGGTGGAAGGTGCTCTCCATCCCTGGGCCAAGTCGTGGTTTCCTCGGCCCCTCTGACGCTCCCTTAGCCCAGCGAAAAAGGCTTTGTTCTGTTAAATGATAATAATGCCCTATGTTTCTATCACACTTTATACATTCTGGAACATTATCATAATTATTCTTAGGGAGGAAGCTTCCAGTGTGGAGACACCCTCTCCATCGCTGAAGATTAGCAGCTCCTCCTGAAACGTGCAGTCTTAGAGAGTTGTCCGTAGCGTGGAGAGGTTGAATGGCCTGCTCCAGGGCATACAGCTAGTATGTGTTAGAAAAAGAATCTTGTATTCACAACCACAAGAAAAAATGTTCCAACACTAATAATAAGAGAAATGCATGGAATACTATTGTGCTATAAGAAATGATGAACAGGCCGACTTCAGAAAAACCTGGAAAGACTTGCATGGTCTGATGCTGAGTGAAGTGAGCAGAACCAGGAGAACGGTGTACACAGTAACAGCCACACTGTGTGATGATTAACGCTGATAGACTTAGCCCTTCTCAGCAATGCAAGGATCTAAGGCATCTCCAAAGGTCTCATGATGGAAAATGCTATCCACATTCAAAGAATGAACTGTGGAGTTTGAATGCAGATTGAAGCATACTATTTGTTATTTTTTTTCTTCTGTTTTGTTTTGTTTCCTCTTTCTGGTGGTTCCTCCTATTGGTTCTAATTCTTCCTTACAACATCACTAATGTGAAAATATATTTAATCGGAATGTATATGTAGAGCCTATATCAGACTGCGTGCTGTCTTGGGGAGGGAAGTGGAAAGGGAGGGGGAGAAAAATTTAAAACTCAAAAGCTTATGGAGGTGATTGTTGATAATTCAAAATAAATTAATTTAAAAAAAGAGAAATGCAAATCAAAACAACCCTGAGGTTTCCTCTCACACCCCTAAATTTGACAGAAATGACAAAAAATGGCAACAGTCAATCTTGGAGGGGTTGTGGAATAATAGACACACTAATACATTGTTGGGAGAGCTGTGAAATGATAAGCAATAAATGTCTATGTCCTTTGAACCAAAAGCTCCATTTCTGGGCTTGTATCTCAAGGAAGTTACTGATAAGAAGAAATTCCTTATACACACCAAAACATTTATAGCAGCACTTTTTGTGACAGCAAATGATTAGAAACAAAGCAGATGTCCAAACAGTAGTAAATGAATATAATGAAATATTACTGTACTGTAAGAAATGATGATTGTGGTGAATACAGAGCAGCCCAGAAAGATCTACAGGAGCAATGCACAGTGAAGGAAGCAGAGCCAAGAACACAATATAAACAATAACTACAACAATATAAATGGAAGGAACAATCACACACCAAAAAATCAAAAGTCAATAATAAAATTATAAAGATCTAGCAGGACTTGAATTAAGAAATATGAACAGATACCCCCAAACCACTGCTTCATGGAGGTGAAAGGTCCACAGGACGTTATACATTTTACATGTTTTTACATTTTTTTCAATGTATCGATCAGTTGTATTGATTTTTATGTCTTTAAAAATAGTACTTGTTTTATGGAATGGCTCTCTGTGAAGGGGAGGGAAGGAAAGATACTGGGGATAGCTATGGCAATGTAAAAAAGAGAAGACAAAAATTGTTTCATCTCATTTACTCTTCCTAACAACCCTGTGATTTAAGCAGGGCAGATGTTATTGTTCCTATTTTACAGGTAAATAAACTAAAATCCAGAGAGGGTAACTGATGGCCTTTTGGGTCAACCAATAGGTTAATCCATAGCCCACAACAAGTCAGCGATGGAACCAGAGACAGAAAGCAGGCGTCCAAACCTCTCGTTAATGAGCTTTTCACAATACCACACTACCTGCAAATCAGCTGCACATAGTATCTTGTTAACTACATGGAGCAATGAAAAAATCGTTGTTAGTTTTCTACTGAAATAAGATCAACCTATTATTCATTAAGCAGAAGAAAACTCACATAGATGCCGGTCTGGATAGAAGACTGTGCTCCACTACATTCAATGGTGATATCTGGTTTGTTTCCAAGGAGACTTTCTATCTTACTGGCAACTTCCTGAGGGCTCTCCTTATTGACTTGGAGGGTCAAAGTGGCCCCACATTCTTTGGCTTTTTCCAGTCGAGAGCTGATCATATCTGAGGTTAAACAAAAGTAGCTCGATCAAACAATGAAACCAAAACATGGACAGAGAGAAAGGGAGAGGGTAGCAACCAAAGTTTTACTTTTCAGAATCTGAGCAGCTTTCATAAGTGTATTCTAAATCCTTAATCATGTTTTCTATCTCTCTTTTCCTTCCTTCCCCCCAACACACACACACACACACACACACACACACACACACACAACCCTTATCAACCTCAAACATTTATTAACAGGAAGACCAAAATATAAGAATATCTCAAAGGACTAAACTGATGCAATGCTTTTTTTATCCATAAAGCAAAGAAAATACAGTAGGATGAAGCATTTCCCCCCAGGTAACATTATAATATTTGTCTGTAATTACTTGTATTTAAAGTACATTTGCATAGATAGGAGAAATTATAATAAATTTACAGTACAATTATTTTCAAAAGAAATTCTGTGTGCTAATTGGCACACCTGGCCCTTCTAATGTTAAGGATTTACTGCAAGTATGCCAGGCACTGAGCTAAGTGCTAGGGATAGAAAGGAAGGTTAAAACAGTACCTGCCCTCAAGGAACCTACATTCTAACAGGGCAGCTCTGACACTACTTGAAACAGAGCATGGTCACAGCCAGTCATGGACTTCCTCTTAGGGCAAATGTAGCCACATAGCCAGCAGGAATTCTCACAGAAGGAAAAGCTCCCATCTTCAACAATACTCATGCAGTGAAGCGAAAAGAGCTGACGCTAGGCCTTGCCTTTCCCGCCTCAAAAATCACAGTCAAAGGGGAAAGCAAAAGAATACATCCCAACTCATGTACACGTCTGCTATTATAATCACTGTCCACAAGGGTGACAGACAGCCTCCCTCCCATCAAACATGTTTTAAGGAAAGAGAGACAGAAAAAGAGGTCTTACCAGTTACTATCACTTGAGATGCACCCATTGCTTTAGCCATCAGCAAAGTGACTATTCCAATTGGTCCTAAACAAAATAGAAACTTTTTGCTATAAATGGAATGCCTAACATGTATGAAATGTGTACCTGGTAAGGGTAGATGGCTATTTTCTCATAAGACTCATAGGATCATAGGTTTAGAGCTTAAAAAAGACCTAAGGCCATCTAGTCCAATACTCTCATCTAAAAGATTAAGAAAATAGGCCTAGAGGTTAAATGACTTGCCCAAGGTCATACAGACAGTTAAAGCAGAACCAGAATTTAATCAAGGTCCTCTCTAAGGCCACTGATCTTTCCATTTTCCAAGGCATACAACATTTCTAACCACTTGGTGGAGGCTGTCTTAAGACATTTCCAAACATCAAAGAGGCTTCAAAAATGGATAAGGTTAGTTCAAGACCTCCCTGAGGTTTTCTAGTAGTTTCGAGAGAGGTCTTAGAAGATCCAGAATATGTTTCCTTACTCCCCCAAACCACCCCTCAAGAACCTACTCTTGTTGTTCAGTTGTTCTTTTTTCGGTCGTGTCTAACTCTTCATGACTCCATTTGGGGTTTTCTTGGCAAAGATACCGGAGTGATTTGCCACTTCCTTCTCCAGCTCATTTTACAGATAAGGAAACCAAGGCAGACAGGATTAAGTGACTTGCCCAGGGTCCCACAGCAAATAAGGGTCTGAGGCCTGGAATTCTATCCACTGCGCCACCTAGCTGCCCCCTCTAGAACCAAGCAAATCTTCCCAAGTAGAAGATTCACAAACTAATGGATCCACTGAGGGCCAAATCAGTCAATTTTTAAATTATAATTGCCATTAATATCATTATCATTATTTAGTTAGGTCACCTGAGTTTCCTTGGCCTGATATGGTCTTAGACTCACACCCTTAGTTAACTACCCAGCATTCAAAAATATTTCTCCAAAATTCTCAGCATGGCATCACTCCTTAAGATATTTTAAAATACATATTTTAACTGGGTAAAATAATATATGCTATCGGAGTGGTAACATATTAGCTAGCTAATACATTATCAGGGATTAGTTTATCATATTATTATATTGACTTATTACCACTCATTTTTATCTACCAGAGAGCAAAGTCCTGAGGAAATGGCCCATAGGATTGTTTAGTTTGGTTGGAGGGGAGCTGAATGGGGCTCATTTCAGAGCCAAGGGGGCACTAAAAAGACTGTTTCTGGGAAGCCAGAGGCAATATAGAAGCATTAGGCATGCACAAAGAGCTGCTGAAATAGGGTGAAGGATTTAGGAAAGGTGGGGATGGAAGAACATCAGAGACAAATTGTACTTACTTCACTGCAATTTTGCCCGGGGCCAGATCTCTTTAGGAAGACTCTATTCTCCCTTCTCAAGGTGGTCTCCCACGACCCCCACCTCCCAATGCTCAATTCATGATTGGTTCTACCAAGAACCAAACCAGAATCAGTCATAACTCAGAAGCTGGGAGGGGAGTGTGTCCTTACTTAAAAGTTGGGGGTGAAGGTAGCATATAACAGAAACTGGGACCAAGTCTATTACATACCTGCTCCACACACAAGGACCCTGCTTCCCAGAGTGACTTCACCTCTCCGACAGGCATAGAGCCCCACAGAAAGTGGCTCGATAAGGGCCCCTTCCTCAAAGGTGACATTGTGAGGGAGTCTGCAGGACCATAAGATACAAACACTTAGGGCTCAAGAACAGAATCTCCTTTTTCACAGATAAAACCAGCTGCAATTGCCCTGGGAATAGTGTACTTGATTTGTTTTTTGTCGAAAATACAGGTCTTCTAAAGTAAATGGGATGATTCATTTCAGAAGCAGGAGGCCGTGCCGTTTTTTGGCAGTTCAATCCCACAAGTTGGTCACATCTACAAGTGTATGGAATGACTTTTCTGGAGTGGATTAAGCAAAATACCCCAAACGTTACAGAAGTGAAAAGACGGCATCCTTTGCCATACCAAATCCATCATACTATTTCCATTAGAGTAAAAAACTAACTAGCAAAAGCACCCAATCTCTACTTCCATGTCAACTCTTGGCATGTGGGTAAGATGCCTCTTTCCACATGTGAATTATCTTTTCTTTAGACTATAAACTTCTCTAAGAAAGTATTTGTCACTTTGTTTAGGTTTTTTTTTCCTTTTAAGTTTCAGGCAGTAACTTACGCAGACAGCATTATGCATTGGCCGTCAATCAAAAAATTAACTGACAAGCATTTCTTAAGCATGTGCTCTGTGCCAGGCACTTCGATGAAGACACAGACACAGAGAAACAAACAGCACAAGGAATTCCCATTCTAATGGGGAAGGCCCTGTTACAGTGTGGACTTGAAGTCAGAGGACCTAGGTTTGAACCTCAGCTCTGCATCTTTCTGTGTGACTATGACAAATCATTTTACCTCTCTAGACCTTAATTTCCTCATCTGTAAAATGAGGGAGTTGGGGCTAGAGGCCCTCTGAGGTTCACCTCTAGTTCCAAATTTGTGGCCCTGTTATTTTCTGTTTAAAATTGCCATCTTTATCTCCCTTCTCCAACTTAGAAAAAAAGTTTGGGGGAGGAGAGACACGTATTTTTTAAGCACCTACTGTGTGCCAGGCACTGTGCTAAATGCTCCACAAGTACTATCTCGTTGAGGTTTGAGAAGAAAAATCAGTCACAATGATTTGGCCACACATTCACCAAACTCTACTTTTTTAGGCTTTGAAAGAGACAATCATGGCTGTTAGCAGAGGTTCTTTAAGGATTTTAAGAACAACAATCACTTTCCAAGCTGGAGGTAGAGAAAGACAGAGGAAACTCATATGGATTACAACCTAGTCGAGGCAGACAAAGGGAGCAGCTGGATGCCAACCCATCGCTGGGATGGGGAGAGAGAGGAGGTAGGTTTTGAGGCACAAGATGTGGGTTGTACTTCCAGCTCTGTCACTGACTAACCAAGCCAGCTTGTTTCAATCACCTGAGCCTCAGTTTCCTCATCTGTAAACTGGGGATAATAATAATGTATTCTCTGCCTCCCAGTGTTGCTGTGATGATCAAGCAAGGGAACATATGGAAAGAACTTTGTAAACTGCCAAGTGCTATATAAATTTGGGCTATTATTATAAATCACTATTCTTTGCTGCTTTTTTCTCTCTCTTCTCCTCATTTGTCTTCTTCTCTCTTTCTCTTACCCAGTTTTGGATCTTGCCCGGCAATGAGTTCTGGCAGTTGCCACCGTATGTCTTGCACTCAGTGTGCACTTAATAAAGGTTTGCCCAATTGGATTGGATTCATCTTGCTTCCCCTGAACCAAGGATACTTAAAAACCCCAAACCAGAATTCAGGGAGGGCAGTCCGGAATATAAAAACAAAAACAAAAACAAAAAAACTACCCCCAGACTGTTCCATTACCTGAAAAATCAGTTTTTCTTTTTCTCCTTTTCAAACACACAAGCAAGAACAAGCTGATACTTCAAAGGGGGGAGCTTGCTCAGTCAGTCAATAAACCAGTTAATAAATATGAACCTACTGTATGCCAGGCACTTCTGTTGGGGTGTTGCTGAAATAAAGAAATGTAAATGAGATGCCCCACTCTAAAGCAGCTCACAATCTAATGGAGAAGACAAATAACCATGTGAAAACAAGCTACATACAAGATAAAGGGAAGGTACTAGAACTAAGAGGGATCAGGAAAGGCTCTGTGTAGAAGGTAGAATTTCAGCTGGGGCTTGAAGGAAGCCAGAGAAATCTGGAGGTGGGAGATAAAGGAGTGCATTCCATTGGTAAGAGACAAGAGAAAATGTCCAGAGCAGAGTAAAAGACTGTCTTGTACCATAGGCCGACATCAAAGGCTTTTTCCATACTAAGTCAAGTGACCACAGGTCAGGTCTGAAATACCCTTATAATCTACCCTATCCTGATCTTAAGAGTGAAAACATCAAGGGAATAGGGTATTAGGGGGTGAGGAAGGAAGATTATGTGAGAAATACGGCATTCTGATCCATTTTTCTTCTGCTGAAATAGGTCCTTCCTTAAACTTAAGTTCAACACCAATAAACACAATATGGGAGAGGCAACATGAAAAACTGGAAAGAGCCACAGACCGAGAATCATGAGACCTGGGTTCTAGTCTCAGCTCTGCCACTAATGAGCTGTGTAATTTTAGCAGATCCCTTATGGGCCTTCAGTCACCCCAACTAACCCACAAGGTGATCACTGAGGTCCCTTCCAGTGCTAATATTTTGTGAGATGGACTAAGAACCAGGAGATCCGAGTTTAAGGCCCAGCCCCACCATTACACAATCTCTCTGAGCCTCGTTTTTCTTTATGTCTAAAATGGAGACAATAGTATTTGAACTATCTACCTTACAGGTATGGTATGAGGAAATCACACTGTCAATTCTAAGTCCTTACAGAAACATGGGATAGTATCGTTATTATTATTATGATTGTGTTTTATGTTCCAGCACTCTTAACCCTAAGGTCCTTTCTAGATGGGGTGTGATTCATGTTCTACATTTTAACTTTCCGTGTTCTAAGATTCTTGCCTGCTTTAACATTCTACATTCTAAATTCTAGCATTTTATATTCTAATTTCCTTTCCATCTCCAACATTCTAGGAACCACCCAGCCATGCAAATGAAAAAACCGATGGTATCACCAAGAGGGCTCAGAAAACAGGGAAAAGGGGCAGAAGAGTTCAGAATGATGAAGAAATCAGCAGGAAGGGGGAAGAAGGAAGCATAAAACCCAAAGTGGGTAGCATGATAATAAGGTTGTGGTGGCAAGCAGAGTGCAGGCTTAGGGCTGGGTTAATGGTGTATGGGACAAGTCAGGAGCCATCTGAAAGGATGGAAGTACTCCAAGAAACACCACTGTCATGACCCAAGCCAACACTTCCCTGATACAAACCCCACTGTGGAATAGGTCCCTCTTGCTTACTGCGCCAGTCCTTTCTCCCTGGGCTCCCATATTACACTTGAGTCAGATTACTTTCATAGACATCTCTGACATTTCGAGGTCACTGTTTCTGCATTAGAAAAGGAGAAGTGGAAATATTCCCTCCTAAGAAAGGAAGGGGAGAGAGGGAAGGTTTTGGAACTATTTAAAAAAAATAACCTTTTATCTCCTCCCTCTGTCTCTTTGCAGAGGAAAGAGTCTATGGGTGTAGAACATTGCATACATCAGCTTTTTTTCCTCAGACGTTGGCTAGTTTTGCTGACCTGGCACTTTCCCCCCACTTTTTTATGCTTTAGTATAAGGGATTGCTCTAACCTTGCCGCACCCATGACCTGAAACTCTGAAATTCTCTGTTCCAACCATAAGCTCCCATCCTTCCATCTCTCCTTGTTCTACCTCCTAAGGCCTTTCTTCTTCTTTCCTGAGGACTGCAAACTCACCATCTCTCTGTTCTCCCAATTCATCAGCCCTGTTCTAGACTTTCTTTTTGTTATCTTGAGTCTTGACACTATAGTTGACTAGTTCAACTATCTACTGCCCTCCTCTTTTTTCCTTCACTTTGCAACAATTTCTCTTTATTATTGGAGGATTCTATTCAAGTCAATAGACATCTATTAAGTACCTTCCAGGTCCAAGGCACAGAGTTAGGGAGACAAAGTTTGAAAAAAAAATTAGGTCCAATGGAAAGATCACCAATCTTGAGCACCAAACCTGAGTCTGAATCCCTGCTCTGCCATTTACTATCTATGTGACCCCAGGCAAATCATTTAACCTTTCAGAGATTCAGATTTCTCATCTGTAAAACAAGAGCACTGGTGTACTTTGACCTTTAGGGTTCCTTTAGCTCTAAATTTATAATCCTATGAACATTCTGCTGAAAAGGAAGTGAAATCCTGCTTTATGCTCCAAGTTCCACAAGGGGAGAGGCCTTGTCTGCTAATCGCCTCCTTCCTGGACTACTGAAATAGCCTGCTAGCTCATCTCCTGGCCTCAAGTCTCTTCCCACTTCAGTCCATCCACCACCCAGCTGTCAATCTATCTTCCTAAAGCACAGGTCTGACCATGTCACCCACCCCCACACACTCAATAAACTCTGGGCTGCTCCCTATCACCTCCAGGACTAAATGTAAAATCTTGGGTTTAGTATTTAAATCCCTTCACACCTTGCCCCTTCCTATCTTTCCAGTCTTCTTACCCATTAATTCCTTCCACTTCCTCTGGGATCCAGTGACACTAGCCTCCTTGCTGTTCCTCACACAGGACACTGAATCTCCCAACTCAGTGCATTTTCACCATCTGCCCACCCTTCCTGGAGCTCTCTCCCTCTTCACCTCTGCTTCCTGGTTTTCTCAGCTTCCTTCAGCCTTAGCCAAAGTCCTCGCTTTGGCAAGATTAATCTCAGTGCCTTCCCTTGGATATTCGTATCCTGTATAGCTCTTGTTTGTAAACAGCTGTTTGCATGTCGTTTCCCCCATTAGACTGTGAGTTCTTAGAAAGCAGAGACTGGTTGGTTTGTTGTTGTGGTTGTTTTCAGAGAGAGTTGGTTTTTTTTGTTTTGTTTTGGTATTCTCAGCACTTAGCACAGGTATTTAGTAAATGATTCTTGATTTATGTTGATCTAAACCAGCAGACAGTAGGCAATTAACTAAATGCTTGCTAAATTCCAACAAACTTTCGTGGTCATGCTATTAAACCTATGTAGTGCTTCAAATAGATTACCTAATTTGAGCTTTCCATCAGCCCAATGAAAAGGTGAAGGCGTGTATTTTTATGCCTATTTTATGGGTGAGGAAACAGAGGAACAGAAACTTTGTAAGGTGCTTGAGGTCACATAGCTAGCCAGACTGGAAACCCATGTCTTCCGAATCCAATGCTCCCCTGCCCTCCACTCTGGATCCCCTTCACTCTTTGGCTTGCTGCTATTCACTCTCTACCAATCTTCAATCCTGGGTGACCTCCACCATCTGCCTTTTCTTCTCATGGTGCTGAACACCACCAGCAGAGGAAGTCACCCAGTCGTGCCAACTGGACCCTCACTGCTACCACAACAATCTTCTATTTGTCCCTGATTAACTCTCTCATATTTTCCACAGCTCCCTTTCTCAACTGTAAGAAGGAGTTAGACTAGATGATCTCCCAAGTCCCTTAAAGTCATGATGATCCTTCTGGTCAGTCAAATTCATAGCCTCACCGTCATCCTTGCCTCTTCTTCTCCCCTTTACAGCCTATAGCCAATCACTCACTCAAATTCATCCCCTTTGACCACAAACACAGTCGACACTTTAGTCCAAGCCTCCATCATTTCTTGTCTAGGCTGTTGCAATAACTTCTTGGTCAGTCTTCCCGATTCCTGAATAATGCACAGGTTGGGCCATGTCCACTCCTCAAAAGCTTTCAATGGCTCCCTATTACCTGTAGGATAAACTACAAACTCTTCAACCCTACAGTTAAGACACTCAACAATCTGGCTCGAATCTAGCTTCATTGCACATTACTCTTAATTGTTCTGTTATAGCCAAACCATACTCTTAGCGGTTCCTCGAACTCAACATTCTATAGCCCACTTCTGTGTCTTCTGCACAAGCTGTCTCCCAAGCCTAGACTCTCCCAGGCCCCTCCAGACCCAGGTGTCACCACCTCCATGAAGTCCTTCTCTGATCCCCACTTCAGTCACTTTGCATTTCCTTATCTGGATACACACAGCATACACTCAGCTGAACAGGAACTCCTCCATGGCAGAGACTGGTTTTCATTTTGCCTGGGTAGCCTCGTCACCTAACACAATACCTTCTCCATCACTGGCACTTAATGAATTTAATAAATCCAACTGCAGCAATTTCCCTCGTAGCTCTTAAAATAACAGCGAGGGAGGAGGGGCAGTGTAGAGTAGTGGCAAGAGCGCCAGCCTTAGAGAATGGATAGAGAGCCAGTCTTGGAGACAGGAAGCCCAGGGTTCAAACTCTGCCTCTATCGTAAACTAGCTTCTTATCCTCTCAGTACCCTAAGAAGTCCTGACTAATTAAGTTAGATCAGTACAAGGAGCTTCAACCCCAGGAAGCTCCCTACAGAGACAAAATCACAGGTCTGGATCCTACCCATCATGCACATATCATACATTCCACTCCCATCCCCCACACACACCACACAAACATCACACACATACCCATACAGCACACAAATAACACACAAACACCACACAACACACCAAATATACACATACCACAGAAATACCACATAAACCACATACCCTACATATCACATACACACACCTCACAAATATCACATACATACCCACACAGCACACAAACACCACACAGAGACTACACCACACACAATACATGTATATATCACAGAAATACCACATATACCCCACGCACCCCATACACCACACAAACACCACACATATCACATACACACACACCTCACAAACATCATACACACACCATACCCATTTCACACAAACACCACAAACATCACACACACCATAAACACATCACACCCTACAAATATCAGACACACACCATACACATCACACACACCACACACACAAAAAAAGTTGACATTTCTATAGAGCTTTAAACTTTATAGAATGTGTTTCATTTATTATTTCATTTCATTCTCACCATGCTATGAGGTAAGTGCTAAAGTATTATCATCCCTATTTTACAGATGAGGAAACTGAGGCTCAGGGAGGCCAAGCAACCCATTCGTGGCCAAAGACCTAGGAATTGCTGAAGGCAAGATTTGAATGCTGGTCATGGTCAGGTCTCTGCTGCTGCTCTACCATGCTGTGTCTCATGAATCTGGTTCTAATGATGTTGTGCAGGTCTAAAAGTCCCCATTTTACAACAGAGATCACTGAGGTTCTGAGATGTGCACTCAACTGTCCAATGCCCCCAATTCCAGGTCTATGGATCATTCTGCTTGACCATACTGCATCTCCAGACCAGCATGGGAGTACCAAGGAAAGGATCTTCTCTGGTTCTAAGGACAATTTCTCTTCCATCCATACTCACTGCTATAAACAATAGACTTGAACACTGCCTAGAAAAACTATCAGTTCTTGCAGGAAGCAGCCTCCAGGTATTTAGGGGCCTCTTGTCATATGCCAGACATTCCACTTAGGTTCCATGGTCTCTGCACAAATAACCTATTTTCTCCTACAGCCAGGTGAAGTTGTTGGTTTAAGCATGTAAAGAGATTTGTGGCTTTAAAGGCCGCTCTGTGGGGGACTCCAATTCAGATCTGCAGAACAGGATTCGCGGTTAACACTCAAATCAGAGAATTGAGGAATTTCAGAGCTGGGACAGAAGGCTTCCAAGAGGCCAATGGTAAGTTACTTTTGTCTGCGGATGAATTCCACAGACGAGCCTCACTCAAATGAGGCTGGGAGCCTTGGAAAGAGGGATAGAAAGACAGAAAGTTTAACAAAAAGCCAGTATTGGCACTAAATATGACTACTGTTCTAGCAGTTCAGAGACCCACATCCAAGTCCCCTAAGTTAACTATGTGACTCTGGGCAAATAAAATGGACCTTACTGGGCTTCAGTTTCTTCAACTATAAAATGAGGGGACTGGAATAAAACCTAAGATTTATTCCAGTTCTGTAACAGTCTGTTCTATGACAAGCAGAGCAAGCCCCATTTTGGTTTATTTTTAAACAAATACTTATTTCTTATAGTAGTGGTAAATTTAAAAAAGAATTTTTAAACTTTCCTAGTCTTAAATTTCTCTGTACACTGGCTTTCTTACTTTTTTTATAATTAATTTATTTTAGTTTTCAACATTCACTTCCATAAGATTCTGAGTTTTAAATTTTCTCCCCGTTCCATGCTTCCTCCCCATCGCCGCCCCACCCCCCCGCAAGACGGCATATAATCTGAAAAGGCTCTTCATGTTAAGCATATTTTCCCATTAGTCATTATGTAAAGAACAATTAGAACTAATGGGAGGAACCACGAGAATGAAGCAATAAAACAAAACAACAAAGGAGAAAGAGAGCAAAGAGTATGCTTCCATCTGCATTCAGACCCCACAGTTCTTTCTCTGGGTATGGATAGCAATTTTCATCATGAGTCTTTTGGAGTTATCGTGTACACTGGCTTTCAATCAATGTCCTGAACATGATCTCTCTGTATCACCCTCCTCCCTACTAAGCACTCAAGTCCACTGATACACAGGACAACTTGGCTTACTACTCATATTCCAAGGAACAAGTTTTCAACGAGAATTTTTTCAGATAGTTTTACCAGAAGTCATCTTGCTAATCAAATATAAACTTTGACTAAGTTCTTTCTAAGCATTCTGTGATGGAATTCCTCCCTAAGAAGGGAGTGAGCAATTTCTGCCATTATTTTCTACTTGAAAGCAAAGGTGCTGTGGAAAACCAGATAAAAGTACAAGATCAACCAATGAACATTGTGATTATGCCAATGGGACCATCCCTTGATGAGGTGGGGGTTGGGGGTCAGGGTCAGTTCTGACCTTGTTGCTAACAGGGAGGGCATTCCTACCAGAATGTCAAAAACATGCTGGAAATTGTGTTGGGGGATGGGGGAAAGAGGAGAATGTGGAAGAATCTCCAAATAGATGACCTTCTCTTACTCCCTCCTACTCCTCTCCAACAAAAAACAAGTGCAAGCCGAGAGAGTTCTGTTAAGGGAAGGAATATTGAGTCCTTAAGGTGTAAGTGGTACTAACTTGTAGCAGAAATCCGCGTTGTGATTGTAAAATCTGCTGAGGTTCCCATCGTCAGGGGGCGTAGCACAGAAAAAGATGGTAGGGGACAGATTGTACCTGCCAGTCTTACAAAATTCATCCAATTCTCGGGGAACACCCGGCTCAATGGCAACCCTGTCACCTGGAAGAAGAAAACAAGCAGCTTTCAACACACAAGGTCAGTGAGCGGCAGCTCCGGCTGAAACATGGGCCCTGGGGCCTTGTTCTTGATTCTTTGTTCTCTGTGATCAGAGGGAGACCCATTACTCTGGCTAAGGAGCAGGCACAGATGTTGTGCAGGGGTGAATATTCATCAGCAGGCACCACAATGAGAAAACCCAGATTATATCTCCCCGAGGAGGCTGTAGGGCATCTCTGTCATTAGGTTCAATCTAAGGAAGCCAAAGAAATCCTGCCACGGATTCATGCTCTCAGTGAATTTGGGACACAGCTTCCTTCTATAGGAGAGAGAGCCCTTTTGTTGATTTCTATAAAGATCACTCATCATGCCTTTCACCACCTAACAAAGAGGGCCCCAACTGGCCAAGACTGCCACCAAGCTTAGGGAAAACAGTAAGGCTCAATGTTCCTCTCTATTCAAAAGATAGGGTGACCGTCCCTCGAGGAAATGATGGCAGTATCAGCAGCCTGGAGTTTATGGCTTGTCTGTCCTGAAAACAAGGGGTGAAGTCACTCAAGACTGGGAAACAATGGAAAGAGCCCCACATTGGTCATAAGAGAACCTAGGATCATGGTTCTGCAAACTGGCTTTGCACATTATTACCTGTGTGACACTGACATCTCAGGTCAAGAGCTAGAAGGGGCCTCCAATAACACCTAGTTATAATAATAATAATAATAATATAATATAATAATATAATATAATAATATAATAATCCCCTCTGTTTTAAAGATGAGGCTATGTGACTGGTCTAAGCCAATCACCTCTATAGTCTCAGTTTCTTCATCTATAAAATAAAGAGGTTAGATCACATTATCTCCAAGACTGTCTGGGAGGCACCATGGTATAGTGGAAGGATGGGTGGAAAGAAAGAAGGACGGAATGAAGGAAGGACAGACTTATTAAGCACCTACTATGTGCCAGGCACTGTGCTAAGTTATTTACAAATATTATCTCATCTGATTCTCACAACAATCCTGAAAGGTAAGTGCTATTTTTATTCCCATTTTACTGTTTTGTTCAGACATTTTTCAGTCATGCCCAACTCTTAGTGACCCCATTTGGAGTTTTCTTGGCAAAGATAATGGAGTGATTTGCCTTTTCCTTCTCCCGCTCATTTTATAGATGAGGAGACAAAGGCAAACAGGGTTAAGTGACTTGCCCAGGGTCACACAGCTAGTAAGTGTCTGAGGCCGGATTTGAATTTCTGAGGATGAGGCTTCCTGACTCCAGGACTGGCACTCTATCCACTGCACCACCTAACTGCCCCTTGTCCCCATTTTACAGTCGAGGCAAATGGAGGTTAAATGATTTTCCCAGATTTTCCCAGAGTCATATAGCTAAGTAAGTGTCTGAGACTAGATTTGAACTCAAATCTTTGTGATTCTAGGCACAATGTTCTATCCCCTATGCCACCTAGCTGTTGACCCCTTTGGAGTTTCGGGACCTGAATTCAAATCCCAATTCTGCCATTTTTAATGCTGAGCACAGCCCAGTGCATATTAAGAGCTTAATAAATGTTTTCTGATTGCTTATTACCCATGTGACCTTAGGCGAGTCATTAAGAGACTGCTTGCTTAAGCCATTTGTCTCTGAACCTCAGTTTCTCTATCTATCAAGTCAAAGGGTTGGATTACATGCCATCCCTTCTAACTCTACATCTCTGATGTTGGTATCCTTCTAGCTCTGAAATCCCATGATCCTGAGTATCCTTGCTCATTACAAGGGCATTTCTTAATTGGTGAAAAAAAAATCTCCTCTCTGTGCTAATGGAGGGCAAGAATGAGGCGTGTATGATTTAAAGGAAAGGATAATCCAGGTGCCATTTGTATTTGGCTTTACAGAAGATTAAAAACACAACATGTACTCAGCCTAGTGCCCAACCCTAGCCCCCTTCCCAACCCAGCACAACTGTTAGTTAGCAGAGCTGGGCTGAGTAGGTCAGAACAAGGTGGGAAAGGGCTCTAAATTATATATAAGTCTGTCTAATGGATAATCAGCCATCTGCAGAAAATAGACATTTGGGAGAGGAGGAGGAGGTAAGTTTGTTGTTATAGGTATTGTTGTCCTCTAACAAAGGTACACACAAAACCAAGTAGATTTAAACCCGAACTCAGGGTGTGACTCATAGCAGCCAATCAGATGATGGCCCAGAAAACCCTGGGACAGGCAGGCCTCCTGTCAGAGTTCCATACCACATAGCTTAGATGTGAAGCCTCCATTTTTGGCTGCCCAGAACCATACAACAGCCAAACAGAATCTGCCCACAGAAGGTACAAGAAGACTCATGGTGTAACCCCAAGGAAAGACCTACAAGGGGAGGCTGGACAGACACAATCAACAATATGCAGTTTATGAACAGTCTAATAAAAACAGCCCTAAGCAGGAAAATAGGGACAAATTATTCAGTTAAGATGACTGAATTAAATTTCTAACAGATTAATTCATTCACCTTATTGTGGGTCCCAGCTGATTATCAAAGAGTTTGGGGGTGCATTATTTAACATAGAAAGAACATGTATGTAAGAAGAGTCTAGATCAATCAAGTCAGATCAATGAGCATTTATTAAGCACCTACTATTTGCCAGGCACTGCGCTAAGCTTTGGGAATGACAAAGAAAGGTCAAAACAGTTCCTGTCCTCAAGGACCTCACATTCTAATTGGGAGACATCCTGCAAACAATTATGTATATACTAGATAGCTATATATACACACACAAATACACATGTGTGTATATGTATATATAAATGTATGTGTGTATATATGTGTATATACACAATACTCAAATCTCCTATATATAATATACCTCACCCAGGCTAGAAGTATAGGGTTATTCATTGGCCAGACCCCACCACTGCTCTGTATGGAAGCTTTGACATGCTCTATTTCTAACCTGGGCCTCTGGTTCACCCTTCCTTCGGTAGTACCCCAGTGGTTCCCCCACTCCCAGGGGCTTACCAAATTGATGCCAAACTTAGTGGGGACACAACTGTCATAACCCACTGCAGCTCAGAACTCTTAAGAGTCCATTCATGACTGAATGAATAAATAACAATAAAATGAACACATATATACACAGACATACATGTGTACACAGACAGGCAAGTGAACATACATCTTATCTCCGGAAACATGTCAAGAGGATGCTGAAAACAACACTGAACATTTCTTGTTTTTATAGAAGTAAAAAGTTAGACCAATAAAAGGTTTTTACATCAATGAAAAGTTACATCAACAATAAAAAAAATAACCCTAGACCAGGTTCAGACCATTATCTTGTAATTAAGGAGTAACAAAATCTGTTGCTATGATATGTAAACCTGTGCACAATTCACTTGTAGTAATCCTGCAGAGTAATTCATAAAACCATAGGCAGAGAGTTCAAAGATCATCTAGTGTGACTCCCCTTATTTTACAGATGAGGAAAGTGAGGAAGGAGCAGCTCAGTCACTCACCTAAGGTCACAAAGGTAGTGAGAAATTGAACTGGGATTTAAACTCAGGTTTTCTGACTCCAAATTCAATGAACTTTTCTCTACCACTGTCTCACAGGTAACTAGTGCCTGACACATAGTAGGTGCTTAAAAAAAAAAGTGCTGATGAAAGTAGACCCTTCTCAGGGAACATTCTCAGATGACTGATAAGCAGTGTCAAATTCAAATAGGAACTGATCCCTGAGGGCTGCATATTGACTTAGAAAACCACAACATTATCTATGGTTTATTTTATTTTTATTTATTTTGTTACACATTTCCCAATTCCATTTTAATCAGATTCAGACTGCATTAGGGAGTTTTGCTAGTCACATGGGCAAATAGTTTGATACATCTAATAAAGCTCTAACACCTTCACGCCTACCTGCTTTGGTGAACTTCTATATGCTTAATTTGACTCTAGGAACTTCATGGAATGAGCTGAATATATGATGAAGGGATGGATTCCACCACATGATTTTATAGAGACCTCTTTGACAATAATAAGGAACATTAATCAAAGTCAACAGCTATAATAAGGCATCCTAGAGAGAGTCCCAGAATCCTGCTGGTGAAGTTTCCTTCTCTCGATTAAGTGTACTAGAGAGGAGTTGAGAGGTCCTCCTACTGTCTAATCCCTGGTTCCTGGGCACAGGAGAAGCAGTGGGAGACAGCCTGGAGTAGGAGAAAGAGCTGGGGACTTGGACACAAAGAACCTGAACTACAATCCTCAGTCCTCACTGTGTGGGACACTTTGGGCAAGTCATTTAGATTCTAGCCCATAGTTTGCTCGTCTGTAAAATAAGGGGGTTGAACTCAATGCTGAGGTCTCTTTCAGTGATAGATCTATGACCCTATGATTCTATGAACATTAGGAAAGGCCCCACTTCCTTCATTAGTAAATGGAGGGGGCAAAACAAAATGACCTCCCTGGCTAGGTCCCTTTCAGACCTGTGGGCCAGTAGGAAGACTCCCCAAACAGTTACTGATTGACTGGAAAAGGAGTCTGCTCACCTGGGAGAAGGTGCTTTACTGATGCTCCCACCTTCACCACAGTTCCTGAGGCTTCATGTCCCAGCACCATTGGCTTTTTAACCACAAAGTCTCCAATCCGACCATGCTGCCAGTAATGGACATCAGAGCCACAGATTCCAACTGAATGCATTTTCAGCTGCACCTCTGGGGAAAAGGAAAGGAAGACATATGAAAGACTCTGAAATGCATAAGAGCCTTTCTTTTTAAGGGCTTTCAAGCTTTTCCTCTACCTTCCTGATATTCATGCCCTCCCCAACCCATCCACCCCAAATTTTTCCCTTAAGTATTTATTCTGTAAATATATTTATTTGTAAATTCATTAGCTTGTAAGCTCCTTGACAGCATCGTGTTATTGTTCAGTCAGGTCTGGCTCTTTACGACCCCATTTGTAACACCAACAAACCCACATCACTCATGCTGTGCTAGGGCTACCTGGTTTTCCATCTTGAAAAGAACAGTATAGCCACAACACCCATCATAACAACTTCATTCAGCTCCCAGTGATTTATTGGCATTATCTATATTGGTATTAGTTATACCAGTATTATCAGTAATTACAGGTATTATCTACCTTTTTTTACAAGCCACACAGGTTTTATTTAAGGGAAGTTTGCATAGCAAAGTACTCCAACCTCCTTAATTTGCATTCCTTCTTCTTGTTATGGAGTTGACTCTTTCTGACCTATTTTGGGGTTTTTTTGGCAAAGACACTGGAGTGATCTGTCATTTCCTTCTCCAGCTCATTTTACAGATGAGGAAACTGAGGCAAACAAGGTTAAGGGACTTGCCCGAGGTCAAATCTGGTTTGAACTCAGGAAGATAAGTCTTCCTGACTCCCGGCCTGGCACTCTAGCTACTGCGCCACCTGGCTGCTCTAAGAACTGTCTTTTGCCTTTTTTTCCTCTTCTTTTTGGTATCCCCAGCACTTAGCACACTGCCTGGCATTAAATAAATGTTTATTGAATTGAATATATGTACATGTTTTCTCCCCAATAAAACATAAACTCCTTGAGGATTTGTTTCATTTTGGTCTCTACACCGAGCCTGGTACACGTAGGAACCTAATAAATTGTCATTCACTGATTGATTCACTGAATTCCCATTTGAGGATAGTTTGAGAAACAGGCAGGATATTTTGGCCACAGAGTAGAAAGCACTCCAAAGGAGAGTCTTTAAATATAATCAGTCACGATTTAAGGACTCTCTTTTGCCCACACACACACATACACATACACACACACACACACACACACACACACACAATAAAATCTTACTAATTGGGAGGACTTCATTTTTGCTTGGGGGGGTGGGGAGTGGGTAAAAGAAAATTAACAGAACATGCTGAGGGAAAGGTTTAAATGGTTTAAGAGAAGGAACTATCTGCCAGTAAGTAATTGTTTTCAAACAATTAATGTGTTAATTATCAGCAATCCTTATCTCTCCATTACATTTGGCAAATGCCCTACTTAGCACCCTTTTGTGAGCCATTAATGTGAGTTACTATCTCTACTTAAAAGTAATAAAATGGCATTTCTTTTAAAAAATACTTTGGTGATTCAGACCCTCCACTAATTCTGACCACCCTTCTCTCTAATTAGTCTAAATTAATGAGGTTCTACTGCATTATTAATGTTCTTGTTTTAATATTGGGAAAAATTATGTTATGGAACGCCTAGTTTTGCTTCAGACTTATGTTAGGATTAAAGTAAAATATGTATACTACAAAAAAATCTCCCCAAGAAAAGCTCTGGCTTATTTTGAGGATGTTGGGAGGAGAACAGAAAGGAAGAATCTCTGCTTTGTATTGCTGAATCTCCTTAAGTGAACAACCACACCACAAATTACAAGAATGGACCGGGTGGGGCTGAACTTTACTAGCTTTCAGTTCTCAAACCAAAGTTAGGAAAGTATCAACACTTAGATCCATTCTTCTGAATTTAAAGTGTCTTGGTTTTTCTCAGCTCAATTCAACAAACATTTACTAAGGGCCTACTATGTGTGGAAAAACTCAGAGACTCATAGTTTTAGAGCTGGAAAGGACCATAGGGACCATCAACTCTAGCCCCTTCATCTTACATAAACTCTGATCAGAGAAGTTAAGGGACTTGTTCAAAGTCACACTACGTGTGGCAGATTTAGTAGTATTAAAAACCAGGTCCTGGCCCTTGAGCTGCCACCAGCCCTTTCCACTAAGTTGTGCTCTGCCTTCCCTACCTAGTACGCTAAATGTTGAGAACACTGGTGCCTGGAATCCTGTCTGTCTCTCCTCATCTTCCCTTCTGGCTTCCTTCAGGTCCCAGCTAAAATTCTGCATTCCACATGGTCTTTTCTGATCTCCCTTAATGCTAGCTCTTTCTCTCTGTTGATTATCTCTAATTTGCCCTGCATAAAGAGTGTTTACATCGTTGTTTGCATGATGTCTCTCCTATTAGACTGTGAGCTCCTTCAAAAAAGAGATTGTCTTTTGTGTTTCTTTGTATCCCCAGTGTAAAAGGAGTGCCTGGCTAGGTGGCGCAGTGGATAGAGCACCGGCCCTGAAGTCAGCAGAACCTGAGTTCAAATCTGGCCTCAGACCAAACACTTGACACATACTAGCTATGTGACTTTGGGCAAGTCACTTAACCCCGACTGCCTCACTAAAAAAAAAAAAAAAAATTTAAAAAAAAAATAAAAGGAGTGCCTGGTACACAGTAGGCACTCAATAAATGCTTACTGACTGCTTACTGACTGACACAAATACGTACACGGAAAGTAATTTCAAGATGGAGAGCCCAACCCTCTACAGAGCAAGCTAACAACTAAGGACAGGAGGTGGTATCTCATCTAGGCACCCATCTACCTTATGCAAATAATTCTTCAGAGAATAAATTTCATAGCAGGAAAAAAATGTTGTGGAGGGGAAAAAAAAATTGTTACTAGAATGGGAGATTTGACTGAACTACCTCTATTCTGTTGCTAAATAAATAACTAAACCTGTCCAAATTACCCCCATTCTGTTGCTAATTAACAAAATCTGATTCTACTACTTTGAACCTGCTTATGCTAAATACACAAAATCTTGCTATATAAGGTACATCCTCAACCCACAAATGTAGTACCCAATTGGCAGGTAGGGACTTTCCAGGCCAACTTTACTGTAGGGAAAGACTGTACCCCATTGGTCTATCCAAATGTTATCAAATGGTAGTGATTGTGTACCCTAACCAAGCCTAAAAAAAACCTATAAACCAAATCTGAGGCTATAAGCCAAATTAGCATAGGAAGCCAAAACTCCTATAAGCAAGCAGTCTTCCTTAGCATGTTAATTAGCATGTTAATTTATTTTCCTTTCAGTTTGGCTACTCACATAAAATTGTTCCAGCGCTCTCAAGGAACTCAGGCTAAAAAATTCCCCAGCCATATAAATGTACCCAAAACATGCCAGCTTATTAAGCCCTTCAGCATCAAGACCCATAAATAAGACAAGAATAAGTACGGCAGGGAAATAGTGAGACCTGAATACTGCTCTAGGAAAACCATCTCTTTAATAAAGAAAAGAGACCATGCCAGGCCTTCCTAGCCGCAAGGTACTCTCTGGATGTAAATCAGGTCCCTTACCTTTAAATCATTGGGGTCTCTTCCTGTGTTCACCACAATAACTTTTACTGAGAAATGTCCCAGGTTTGTTTTGCATGTGTGTACACACACACACACACACACACACACACACACACACACACACACAAAGTGGCTAAGTGATCTGGGGCCTGGAATCTGGAAGACCTGAGTTCAATCCAGCCCCAGATACTCACTAGCTGTGTGACTGGGTAAGTCACTTAACCTCTGTTTGCCTTAAACCACTAGAGAAGGAAATGGAAAACCAACTCCAATATCTTTCCAGGAAAACACCATGGACAGCATTGGCGTGCTATGGTTCATGGGTCATGAAGAGTCAGACACAACTGAACAAATGAACAACAAATATTTACATTACCAACTATGCATCATAAAAATCTTTGAATAGATTTCTTTGGAAGCCTCATCCCTCCTCTACTTACCATATAATAAATCAACATAATCTAAAAATCCAAAATGCTTTTAAGTACCAAAGATCATTGCTGTGTGAAGACAGCTAGAAAAGCTTGTTTATCTGATATGAAGATAAAGGTTTCCAAGCCCTCTGAAGTCATCCCTACTCTCTGGAATGAATGAATACTCCAGTAACTGGGGACTGTAAAAGCAGGAGTTTCTATAGAAATCTTTCAAGATCCCTCCCCAAAGGGAAAGGGTAATTTATAAACTTTTTTTTTTTGGTTAGGCAATTGGGGTTAAGTGACTTGCCCAGGGTCACACAGCTAGTACATGTCAAGTGTTTGATCTGAGGCTGGATTTGAACTCAGGTCTTCCTGACTCCAGGGCTGGTGCTTTATCCACTGTGCCAACTAGCTGCCCCATAAGTATCCATAGAATATCCCTCAAAGGACTTCTAATTGTTTTTTTTTTTTAAGGCAATTGGGGTTAAGTGACTTGCCCAGGGTCACCCAGCTAGTAAGTTGTCAAGTGTTTGGTGTGAGGCCAGATTTGAACTTAAGTCCTCCTGACTTCAGGGTCAGTGCTCTATGTACTGCACCACCTAGCTGCCCCTAAACTTCTTGAAGGTTGGAATCGCGCGTGCGTGCGTGCGTGCGTGTGTGTGTGTGTGTGTGTGTGTACACGTACTTTTTTAATTAGCACTGTGATTTTATAAATGGAAAGCACCCCAGGTGAGGAACTTTCTTTACCAATCCTTATCAGCATCTTCTGGCCAACCTAAGGTTTTGGAAAGTTGCCTGGACACCTGATAGTGACTCACTCTAAGTCACAGAGGGAATGTGTCAGAGTGTCAGACACAGAACATGAACCCAGGTCCTCCTGGTTCTGAGGCCAGCTCTCACACTACACTACATCACACTGCACACAGCTGGCGGGAAATAAAAGTTTTTTGAATATTTCTGAGTTTGAGGTTTGTAGGGCTAGAAGAGGCAAGGGGAGATCTGCCCCCAGCAACCTAACATATATCTGCAGAAGCAAAGTAGGATAAAAGCATAGGCCTCCCTCCCTTCTTGGCAGACAAGCTTACTGTACTTTTTTACCTTTATCCTGGGTCACTCTGATATACATACACATGTGCTTTAGGGGTTGGGACAGATTTCCCTTACTGGCTGCCCTCGTAAGCCAACCCCTGCCCTGGCTACTCTGGACACAGGATAAGGACGTCTCAGACATGAAGGGGACCCATTTGAGTGTTGGTCAACTTAGTGATAGTCACTTTTTAAAAAATTAATTATGTTCCTTGAGAAGGGAGATAGAGGAAGAGAAAATATCTTATGCCTCTCATTTCTAATTATGTGAAAAGTGCTTTGAATTCCCTTCTTTCAAACTCCCCTCCTTGATTCCTTTTTTATTTCTCTTATTCCTTTTTAAAGTTTGCTGAGCAAGATAATTTAATTAAGTAATCTGTGAATTATGAGTTTAAAAGAGAGCTAAATTTGCCTTCATTTTGGGGGGATATTGGGAACTCTTTTTTTTTTGTGAGGCAATCGGGGTTAAGTGACTTGCCCAAGGTCACACAGCTAGTACGTGTCAAGTGTTTGGTCTGAGGCCAGATTTGAACTCAGGTCCTCCTGACTTCAGGGCCGGTGTTCTATCCACTGCGCCACCAAGCTGCCCCGGGAACTCTTAGATGAAAGAACTCTATCTCTAGCACAGCAGATCAGCACCTGCTCTGCGATTTACAGTCGCAGAGAAATACTTGGAGCATTGAGAAGTGCATCTCCTTGCCTAGGATCCCAGCACCAGGATATATTTGAGCCTGGGCTCAGTTGCCTCCTTGACTCCAAGGCCAGCTCTCTCTCCATGATGTCAAGTTTGCCTTCACCACACAGAAGGCCTTTGGAGAAGGCTGATCCTCTGAGATGGCACCTTTTGCTGTTCCATCTCTATTCCTTTTTATTCTGGATAGCATAATAATAATAGCTTACATTTACATATAGCACTCACTAGCGCCAGGCACTGTGCTAAAGTGCTTTACAACTAATTATTGTCATCTTATCCTCACAACAATCCTGGGAGGTACACGCTATTATTGTCCTCATTTTAGAGATCAGAAAGTGGAGGCAGTTAGACTTGCCCAGGGTCACACAGCTAGTAAGTGTCCGAGACTGGCTGAACTCGTGTCTTCCCAACTCCAGACTCAGCACTCTCTACACTGTACCACCTAGATACTCCATTAAACTCATCCATCCAAACTCTGTACAATGGGACAGCAGGCTGGCAAAAGTCAAGGGAAGTAGATAATGAGAGAGGAGAATGATCCATATGGTCATCTATGGGCAGAACAATAGGAAAGAAATACTGCTTGAGACTTACCATTTGGGCCTGGTTCACGGATTGGATAGTTTTCCTAAAGGAAAAAAACAACGACATATTCAGCATCCACTGTCATAAGGGTAATAATAACCCATACTGAAGCAGCGCTTCAAAGTATTCTTACGTGCATTTGGTCCTCACTACAACCCTGTAAGGTAGAAGTTATTATTATCCCCATTTTACAGATAAGGAAGCTGAGGCTCAGAGACCAATCACATAGCTAGTAAAAATCCAAGGAAGGATTTGAATAAGCATTTTCCTGACTCCAAATTCAATGTCCTACCTACATTACCACACTGCCTCTGCTGCTATTGTGAACATTTTTTCCATGTTTCTGGCTAAGATTAGAGGTACAATGGAAAGAAGGTTGGGTTTGAATCCTCAATGTGACACTTACTAGCTGAGTGACTTTGGGCTTTATTCTCCTTCCTTGAAAAACAGAGACAGTTGGACTGATCTTTAAGGATTCTTCTCAGTTTATGATCATATAGTCCCATCTGTGTGGCCTCGGGTAAATTACTTAACCTCTCTGGGCCTCAGTTTCCTCATCTGTAAAAAGAAGGGACCGGACTTGAAGTCTCATCCGGCTCTAAATCTGTGATCTATACTATTTTCGCTAAACCATTTCTTTCTGTGAGAAGCAGGCAGCTCTCAAGATGACATTACTGTTGGACGGCTGCCCAATGGGTTCAAATGTCACACTGCACAAGTAGTTACTGATGACTCAGAGTCAGTCTGGGGGGCGGGGGGGCCACACAGTAGCAACACTCTGGAAAGGTCTGTTCAGCTCTTTAACCACTGGTTTCCTGAATAATGGATCGACTGACCTGTAAATAACATCGACAGCAGGCTCATTAAGTTTTCAGCTAACCCCAAGATGGTGACATTCATGTCACTAGGTCCTAGAATTGCAGACAGAGTAGAGGGAGAGCCCTGCAGAGGGCTACCCCTGCTCCCTTGTCACATGGAGAAGTGCCAACTAAACCACAGAAGAGAAAACACCTCAATAGCTCTCTGGGGCAGTGCAACCCTGGCTGCAGGGGCAGGCTCAGCAGGAGTGGACTACGGAAGAAGCTCCAGATACCAACCTCTCTTCCACCCACTTCTGCAAATTGCCTGGGGCTCAGGGGAGCACCTGTAAATGCACCTGTTTTCTCTGTCCACTTCCCCCACACTCCTTTCTCCCTCTCACAGATCTCCAGAATTCAGCTTTCTCTGGCAGGAATATTATCCCAGGGTCTTTTTCAGGATACTTCTCTTTAGGAAAAAATATATTCCTAGACATAGCCAAGCATTTATTTGTTTGGTCTCTGTAATCAATTCCATGGGCACCTTCTCTCCAGGACAAAAATAAAAACTGGAAAAAGGATCATTCCCCACCATCTACCTCTGTCAGTTAGTCAACTGGCATTTATTGAATGCCTACTATGTGCCAGGCACTGTGCTAAAACCCTGGAGATTTAAAAAAAATTGGGGAAAAAAACAACAACAAAAAACAGTGTCTACTCTCAGGAGCTCACAGTCTAATGGAGGATACAATGTGCAAATAACTAGATACAAACAAGATATATACAGGATATATTGGGGGTAGTTTCAAAAGAAAATACTACAATTTAAAAAGACTGGGAAAGGCTTCCTGCTTTAACTCCCTTGTAGATTAGTGCATGCCGACAGACAGCTAATGTTTATCCTGACCACCCCTTATCTCCCAGAATGAATATCCAAGCCACACTTTAGCATCTGAAATTTTTGGGTTTGTTTTTTTTTTTAAGGCAATTGAGCTAAGTGACTTGCCCAGGGTCACACAGCTAGTAAGTGTGTTTGGTCTGAGACCGCATTTGAACTCAGGTCCTCCTGACTTCAGGGCTGGTGTTCTATCCACTGTGCCACCTAGCTGCCCCTAGCATCTGAAATTTTAAAGGAGGTTTTAGGATTTTTGGCCATCTTAGTGAACTACAGTAATAATGACTCCCTTTTACAGAATGTCTTAAAAGGTTTGGGAGGCAACCTGAAGTACTAGACAAAGAGCGGGCTTCAAACCAGGAAGGCAAGTCCCATCCCTGACGCACAAGCCTACACCTGTCACTTAACCTCCTCAGCGCCCATCTGCACTACCAGAAGCTCCTCACCTATGCAGCTTGGTCCTTTGGATGAGTTCAAACGAAAAAATTCCCTGAAGTAGTCTCATGTATTTAAATTCTCACTATTTGAAGTTACAATTATGTAAAATATGGTCACTGGTTCCAGCCCAATGGAAATATGAAGTGAATTGTTTGCACTAAAATTGAAAGCTAGCTATACCAATGAAATCATAGGTCTGAAAGGTTTACAGAGGGTTTCCCTTGTAACAATCCAGCCAATTGATGTGAATTTATCAAACACCAAGCAGTATGCTAGGCTTAGAGATACAAATATAAATAACAAAACCATCTCTGTTCTTAAGGAGCTTAAATTCCAATGGGAGACGGGACAGGTAGGTGGCGCACTGAATAGAGCGCCAGCCCTGGATTCAGGAGGACCTGAGTTCAAATCCAACCTCAGACACATAACACTTATCAGCTGTGTGACCCTGGGCAAGTCACTTAACCCCACTGCCTAGCCAAAAAAAAAAAAAAATCCCAATGGGAGAAACAAGTCTGAGGGTTAGGGGTTGGGGGAGGGGAGGGAGACAAAGAGAAAACTGAAAATCAGAAAGGTTAAATGACTTGCCTGTGTTTCACTCATTTTTTTTTTCAGTTGTATCTGACTCTTTGTGACCATATTCAGGATTTTCTTGGCAAAAATACTGCAGTAGTTGACCATTTCCTTCTCCAGCTCATTTTATAGATGAGGAAAATTGAGGCAAAGAGGGTTAAGTGATTTGTCCAGGGTCACATGAGACTGAATGTGAATTCGTGAAGATGAGTTTTCCTGATTTCAAGCTCAGTGCTCTATCCACTGTACCATCTACCTGTCCTGTACCTGGTAGAACTGCTAGGAAAGGTCCAAGAAGGATGTTAACCCAGATATTCTGATCCCAAGACCAGTGCTCATTTCACTACAATCTACCATAGTCAGAGATACTCTGACTAGAGACTGTAGATTGCCTGTGTTGTTTATTGTCCCTTTCCCCTTTCCCATAAGGTCTGAAATTATTGGTAACTGGCAGCAAAAAGGAAAAATGGAGCAGCCAAAGTGTCTATTTCACAAATACCTGAAGAAGTATTCAGGAAGTACTCTCCTTTGGGGCAGAAATCGGAAAGGGCAACCATATATAACCTTGTGCAAATCTCACTGCCACAGAATGATCAATCAATGAACAAATATTCATTTAGCAGTTACTAGGTGCCAGGCACTGTGCTAAGTGCTGGAGATACAAACAAAAAGCAAAAACTATTAGTCTGTCCTCGAGGAGCTTACATTCTAAGGCACAAAGAAATAGCCACATAAGTAGGTACATAAAAGATACATATAGAGTAAGTTAGATAGATGGAAGCTAACCCTTGTAGGATAAGGTACTAGAGGTGGGGAACGGAAGGAAGGGGGTAGGGAGGGACAAGGGGACAGGGACAAAGAAAGCCCTGAACTGGGATTCTAAGAAGCAAAGAAATGAGGAGGAAGAGCATTAGTGATCTAAGGGGCAGTCAGTGCAAAGAGACAAAGGGAGAAAAAGGAGCATCTTAGGAAGGAGTATGTGTTCCACTTAATTAAAATTCAATTAAAAAAACCTACTTCACAATTTAGAGCCTTAAGAGCCTCAGTGCATTAGACGTCATTGACACCTTACCTATGACACTAGCCACCCTTGTAAGGCTCTTCTGAGCTGGATGAAATCTTCAACTGCAGATGAATCACATAAGGAAGGAGTATGGTCTTCACTTCTAATCATGGAAATGCAAGCTACCTTATAGGCAGTGGTGGGTTCTCCCTACAAAATGTATGCAGGTCATACTTTTAAATGTAATCTGCATTAGTAACACTTTATTACCTTCTTAAGTATAGACAATAAACAACAAAATAAATCCTGCTTTGTAGTATTTGCTGATTTCCAAAGCAGAAATACTCTATACTGAATATTTAACCACCAGCTCTAAAGAACCACTATGAGCTGGTTCCAGCCAGAGCCCCTCTGTCAGGGCAGGGACTGATTTTGTTTGTGTATCCTTAAGACCTAATACTGCGGCTTTGCCAATTGTAGGTGCTTAACAGATGCCTGTTGAATTGAAACAAATTTTCGGGTTGCTCAAAAGAGGGAGAAGTATATAAGAAAAAGAATGAAATATTAAAGGGCATCAGCAAAATGTTTTTAAAATTTAGGGTTGAAAAGGCTCTTATGACTCTAAGAAGTCATCTAATCCTGCCCACTCATAGGAAGAAACAGAAACTTCAATTTTAAAAGACAGATGATAGAATTTAGAGCTGAAGTCACCTTAGACATCATCAGTCTAACTCCCTCATCTTACAGATAACGAAACTGAGTGCATTTAAATATATACTACTTATACATACACGTGTATATTTATTATATATGTATACACGTGTGTATGTATATGTATGTGTGTATATATGTATGAATTTACTTAAGGACACTTCCTTGAAATAGTCTCCACTCTTTGAATACGGGCAAAGAATCAGACTATGAGATTGTTGTCCATAAGACTCAGTAAGCAGTCCCCAGGTTGCCTTCTACACCAGAAGCACATGGGGAATCAGACTGCAGGGTACTGGATCTTTGCTCTCTAATTAAAACAATCAGGGAAAGCCTGCACAGTAAAGCAGCACTATGTTTTGCTTGGTGCTCTGCCCATACCAAAGATGCAGTACAGTAGCACTTCGTGGACACTAGAGGGTACTATGCTGATAGCCAGCTGGTTCTCTCTGTTACCAGATATAATAATAACAAAAGGCCAGTAAGCTGCCCCATTCCCCGTGGAGCCCTGAGAGCTTCTCTGGGGCCTTTTCTTGTTCACTTTCATCGCTGTTAAAATCCTGCTTCCCACCTCAGCAGCAGACAGGTCTGAAGTTGCAGTCCCAATGAAACTAGCATGAAATTGG